AATCTTTTATGACTCCCTTGGAGTGTAAGGGCCTGTTCACATAGAGGTGGAGGACCCTAGATTGGTGAGGTAACCAAAAATAACCTGCATTTACATGCAATCTTACAACCCCGCCATCCCGGTTAGACTTTCTCAAGATTATTTAATGGTCGCTTGAAGTACTTACATCTAATTGCTGTAAAGTTCTCATACAAAAGAAAAAAAGGAGAATTGATAGCTCGCTCACTACACTCAGGGATCTGATCTGAAGGAAAGAATGAAGCACAAAATATCTTCACAAGCTCAATAGAATATTAGGAAAGTATTTGATTGAGAGCAAAATTCTGTCCAACATAGTGACTGAAGACGCCTAAAAAGTACATTAATCTGTCTCCTCTTTCATGGCATGTTAGGTGGCTCTCTCATCCCTACATGGTATGGATTCACAAAGCGTCAAGGACGCAATGGTAAGCATACTATTTAAAGATAACGAAACAATCTTCGCAGTTATACAGCATAGCCCGAGTGTCGTTGTTAAACATTTTCAGTGTTTCTTTACCAGGTAGCTTATTCATTTACACCGTAAACTGGAGCTCAAAAGCCCCCCCCGCCACGTATAAGCCCCCCCAGTTATATGCTTATCTACCTGTAAACGAAAAAATAAATCTGATTATGAGCCCATCTCTAGCTTATATTTTTATTTATTGAAATGAATTCAAATAACAAAAGTCCTGCAAGTCACGAATATTTTTCAAACTGGCTGAAATGACTTTTGTACTAGTTCATGCTAGCTACAGTTTGCCCGAATGGTAAGCTGTAAAGAAACTGCCTTATAGGGAATTGTTTCTAATAATCAAGAGGATGGGATTGGTTTTCAGAGAATGGGAGGTCGGTTTTGGATTTGAACTATCCGGAGATTCGAGAAACCGAGTGCTGAAAACATCCCGATCCAATTGTAGCTTTCTTTACTAAGATTTTCGTTCTTCTAAATGTTTTTTTTTACCTTCATCCTAGGCCAAGTTTGACAAATATCTCTCTTCTCCGGACAGTTTAATTATGCCTCAGTGCAATCTCTTGAGAACAACCCGTTTAAGGTAAGTTAAACTCAAGCATGGAGGGAACATTTCTTTATTAACTGAAGAAAATTGTCCACGAGAGTTACGAAGGTTTAAGTTATAGAAAATAGCCCTTATGCGAACGCAGCCAACATCGAATTCTCTACTTTTTTTTAATCCTTAAAAATCTGATTGGGTGTTTAGTATTTACTTATTTATTTTTATGAAGAAGTGAAATTCATTACTCCATAAGCTACGGAGTAAATGGTTTCAAACTCTCTGGGCAACGATTTATGGTATCTTTGAGTGGACAAGCGTTTGTTATGATTGGTCGATACGGCAACCAGAATAACTCGCGTCTTCGAAAGCTCTTTACTGTCGGTTGAAATCTGAGTCAGTTTTCGCGAACGTCAATCAAATGTTTTCAGGACTTTTTCCCTCTCTCTGTTAGAGAAAGGTCTCTCTCATTTTTTCACTCAAAAAGCGAAGACAGTGCTCGCAAACTCGTTTACACAGTTGGATCTTCGATATAGCATGACCTAGAATGATACGAACTTCTACAAATTACAAATCCACATTCACGTGACAATATACAATCTCCGAAAGGAGAGTCATTCAAAGGACAATTTTTTCTCTGCTGAAACCTGTTGTCTTTGGTTTCTCTTCCTTAGCAAACCGGTCACGGCTCGTTTAATATTTTTGGATTAGTAACCTGAAAACCTATGCGCAGTACAGGAAGTCTTTCAGCTATTTCATTCTGCCAAAGTCCTTTTTTTTTTAACATCATAATCCTGCTTCTCAGCAAAATTGGAAATACTTTGTCATTCGAAAATGTCCTCTCAAATCTTCGCTCGTCAAGTGAAGTAATTGCTCTAGCAGAGCGTGGGGAAAGGAAAAACTATTCATGAAATAAAAATAAAAATAAATCTTTATTCGGGAAGCCTACTTCACTTATAAGTGTTTTACAATAGGGTCCACGAAAACTTAGGTTACAAACGACAGAAGAAACTTCTCGAGGGCGCGTCAGTGTTATTGGGGACTGCTGTAATAACCACACAAGCGATCCCTGAAATCATAACTAATAGAGTCTACTAACTGTAGTTTGCCCAAAAGCTATACCCACAATATTCTCCCGGCTTTAGTTCATAGAGTGGCAAATTGCATGCAGGAATGTTTAGACAAAATATAGGATATTCCTCATTTTCAATGTTTCGTTGCAGAGATACAGTCCACAAGCGAGCGGTGGATGTTGTGTGCGCGACATACAGAACTCTATACGAGGCCATCGTGGACGAAAAAAATAAATGCCCGGATGTGAAAACGCTAGTTCCTCGTACCCCGGATCAAGTGACGTCATTGCTGACGTAACGAATGGGATACTTGTAAATACTATCTTAACTGTTTCTTCGCCAGGAAGATCCCAAATTAAAATGTCTTATAAAGACAACTTATTTGGTCAGGTTAAAAATAAAAGTTACATTTTCAAATCTATTATTAGCCCTTTCATTAAAAATTAGGTTTTGTAAATTCGGAACAATATATACTACCAGGAAAAATCACTTGCCTTGTTAGCGAGGAAATGGTAACATAAAACCAAACAACCAAAACAGACGAAATTCCCGTGACATAGTCTTTAATTCTTAACTCTGAGAACAAACTTTGTTTCAAGTTTTTACAGGAAGCATCTCATAACTGATATTTGACGAACATAAATATAACTGGCTACAGGGTAGATGAACTTATTTAATCTTTCGCACATTGTCAAAATTTCCACATCCAACTGTAAAATCTTGAAACACCAGGAACTTTTTGTGTTCCTTCGTATCAGGTGATTTTTTTTTAAAAAACTTGTATTGATTTTGATGACTTAATTGGGGGCAAATACGGAGAAAGGAAATCGATAGTATGATATAAGAAAATAACGTTCCTGCGCTTTTACAGTGTAAAGGAATAAACAAATGTCTTCTATTTAAAGTGTAATCAGAAACAGTAGGTTGCACTAAAAATAAACTGAATTTTTTAGCAAATGGATTTTTTCGTATTTTCTGTGTTCGTGATATTCTTAAAACAACTAAGGAGAAGTAAGATTAGTTTTTAAATAGCGAGAATTAATGTAGTTACTAAACTTACAGATGGCTAGTCTTCTCTACATTTGAGCTCGGCCATATATGGCCACTTACGTCCAGAAATGACTTGACTGGTTAATCGGGTAACCGGTCATTTCGCCCCGGTTATTTTGCCCCCTATTGCGCGCTCCAAATATAATATTCCTCGTTCTATAAGCCATAAAACAAAACAAACGCTCTTCAGAAGTAATATTCTTCATTCTTTAAGCCATAAACCAAAACAAGCTCGCTTCAAATGTAATATTCCTCGTTCTAAAATAGGGGGCTTAATAAGCGGGCGAAATGACTCATGGAGCAGGAACCGCTCAGAGGGAGGGGCTAATTTAACAAAAGTAACGGAGTGAAAAATAGCAAAAAATCGTTAATTCGAAAGTGACCAGAGTTACTGGCAAAGACAAACGCGCAGATAAATAGACAGAATGAAGCATTAGTCGTTACAATTGTAAAATATTTTTTCGCTTCTAACCTAGCAGAGGTAAATGTCTTTTAAATGGCCTCTTTTTCCTGGAAAAACTGTACAACGATGATGTTAATATTTCAGTGTTAACCGCCCAGATGGAAATTTTACAAGTGCTGCTGGAGGATGGTGATTATTTTTGTTTTGACGACATCATAGTAAAAATTAAAGAGCTACCCAACCCAGAACGGGAAATGATAAAAGAAGTTATCACGTTATGTAAGCTGATTGTCGTAAATCCAGCAACCAGTGCAGCCGGTGAAAGATCCTTTTCGACTGCCCGGAGGCTAAAAACATGGCTCCGTTCAAGAATGAACCAGGAACGATTTAGTAACCTGACAGTTTTAAACATACACAAAGAAAGAACGGACAGGCTTTCCGCCATTGACATAGCAAACGAATTTACCGACCGCAACACAAACAGAAAGCGTAATTTTGGCACTTTTCGAGTAAATGATGTACAGTAACTTTAATATCATTCACTAAATTATTTTCAGTTACCTTTTTGTTTTGCCGTGTAAATATTTTGAAT